ACAACACCCACAAGACACTGACCATCTCCCTTGTTTTAGATCATAGAGCAGGCACATTCCCCCAGGGGCTCTCCCTACCTAGGCACATGGAAGTCATGACCACCTTCAGAAGCCTGGAGAGCAACATGTTTGAGTTCTCCCTCTAGATAGAAAATGTCTTCTTCTTCTTCTTCTTCTTCAATATCAGGGCTCGGTACTATGAGGGGAGCCTGACAGGGTGAGGGAAGGATTGTTGGGTATGTGCCCCTGAGGCCCCAGAAGAGGAAAGAGGGGTTTCCTGGTATAGCAAGTTGTGCGGGTCATGTCATAATTCTCTATGTCCCAGTGAGAGTCTCACTACCCCACATCCTTTTGCATTCAAGAACCCTTAACTTGGAAACAATTACATCTGAAAATGAATGAGCTTGGTGTACTAATAACAGCATTTTACTTACTACATGGATTGAAGCCCTCGCCTATCAGAAAACCACACCAATCACAAAAGTTAAAAATCAATTGGATCTTGGGGTACTGGATGGCTCATTTGATTAAGCGTCTGCCTTTGGCTCAGGTCATGATCTCAGGGTCCTGAGGTTGAGCCCTGCATTGGGCTCTCTGCTCAGCGGGGAGCCTGCTTCTCCCTCTCCCTCTGCTGCTCCCCCTGCTTGTGCTCTCTTTTGCTCTCACGCTCGCTCTCGCTCTCTCTCCTGCTCTTTGTCAAATAAATAAATGAAATCTTTAAAAAAATAATCAACAGGATTTTGTGTTTACTACCTGTGCCATTTCAATTAATCTCCATATAGTGGAACAAATCTCTCTGGGACAGTTAGGTAAAGTTAACCCTCACATAGAAACTTCACTTCTCCTATCACCCCCATCCCCAGTCCTCTCTTATAGTGGAAACAACAGATGGAATATGAAAACTGAAATGAGTTACTGTGGCAGATACCCTTGGACTACTGTGGCTTAGTACATGTTAGCCTTAGCTGCATCCTTCCCTCATAAAGTGCTGTGCCGTCTTACCATAAACTGTTCACTGTAGCCCACGTAACTCAGAATGTCCCAACCCAACTCTTCACAAACTGAACCAGAGAAATAAACCCTTGACACTCTTCCTTTCATCCCAGGCACAGATTGCTCTACTGGCCTTTCATTTAATCAGCTCTAAACAAAATCCCAGAGAAAGAATGATATTGAGAGGGTGAAATGATCTTATTAGGCACTTTTTATTACCATTTCAGCAGATAAACTACCAGAAATGGATCCTTGGTTACATGTGTACCAACTAGTATGGCATCACGCATGCTTCATTGACAGGAATGGGAAATGTTGCTCATATTAGAGATCTTTCTTTTATTTTTTTAAATCTAGTCTCCACACCCAGTGTGGAACCTAACACAAGGCTTGAACTCCCCACCCTGAGATCAAGACCTAAGCTGAGATCAAGAAGAGGCGTAACCGCCACCCAGGTGCCCCTCATGTTAGAGATCTTAAACTGAGGTTCTCAAGAGAATCAGCAGAAGCAGAAAGTTCACAGAAGTGAGTGCTGACCCAAGAAATGTGAAACAAACATTAAGTTTGCACGAAGTAGATAGCTTCATCCAAGGCCATTAGAAGAGATATCTCCAGATGTTTGGCAACACTGATTATCATACCCTTCTGTAGATTCTTTTGTTTCTTTGTCCTTTTAGAAATATATTCCCCCTATAATAATAAATGTTACGTATTTCGGAATTACCTGACTTTGTTCTTTTACTAATAAAATGACTTGAGTATAACCTTTATTTGAGACAATAACTATCCTAATGCTATAGTTCACTTCTACTAAGCCATTGGTAGTGCAACAAAGGTAAAACATTATTGGATATGTTATTTTGTGTCAACTCCTGGAAAAGCCAAATAATAACCATACCCCAGTTAGAACGACTAAAGAGAATTTTGATCAATAAAATTTGTCTTAAAATGTTAGAAAAACTTAGAATAGAGTTGCTATACCTAGACTTACATGAAGAACATGTCTCAACCTGAATATATGAGTTAGTCCAACAATCCACTGAACCGCTCCATTATTGATTGCTATAGTGTGTCTTTTCTAGAACTATAAATTAAATCTTTAAAGGAATCCAAACACTTGAAATGGTAGCTTATTTCTATAAAATAACTTAAAAGTTCATTGGGGCACCTGGGTGGCTCAGTCAGTTAGGCGTCTGCCTTCGGCTCAGGTCATGATTCCAGGGTCCTGGGATTGAGCCCTGCATTGGGCTCCCTGCTCTGTGGGAAGCCCACTTCTCCCTCTCCCACTCCCCCTGCTTGTGTTCCCTCTCTCACTGTGTCTCTATCTGTCAAATAAATAAATAAAATCTTTAAAAAAATAACTTAAAAGTTCAAAAAATCAGGAATGAGAAACACTGAGAGTGATGGCACAGGCAGAGGTCATGCATGTGCCCATGGCACGTGTTTCCTCTCACTAAGACGCAGAGTGATTAGGTATTGTGTTCCATTCATATGACATGGTTAAAAGATAAAAATATGAAAGAACAAGCAAGGTGTATAAAAAGTTATGGGTGGGAGAAAGTGTGATTACAAAGTTATAGAACAAGGGATTTGTGCGGAGCAATGAAGTTGTTCTGTATCATGATCGTATCATGGTTATATGAATCTATACTATATATTAAAATTCAATATTCACAGATATACACCAAAATAGTCCATTTTTCTATATAGTTTCTTTAATAAAAATTTCAAACACTGAGAAAATAAAATAATTGTGGTTTCTATTTTCATGAATTGACTCTGCCTAATATATATATTATTTTCTCAGTTTGGAAAAGAAAGCACCACCCTGCCAACTGTGATAGGCAAAATGGTAGCAAAAAAAAAAAAAAATCAGGTGAAAAATGGAGGGAAAAAAACAAAAAGAATTAAAAATATGATTAAGTTAAGGATCCTCAGATGGGTAGATAATCCTGGATAATATGGGTCCAAACGCAATCACATGTACACTTTTAAGAGAGAAGTAGAGGGACGTTTGATGACAGGAAAAAAGAGAAATCAGTGAAACCATGGAAGCAGAGATTGGGTGATGTGGTCACAAGCCAAAAAATGCCAACAGCCACCACAGCCAGAAGAGGCAAGAAACAGTTTCTCCCCAGAGCCTCTGGAAGGGGTATAGCCCAGTTGACATCATGATATCAGTCCTGTGAAAATAATTTCAACTTCTGGCCTTCAGAACAATGGCAGAAAGATTTTCTGTCGCTTTAAGCCACCAACCATGTGATAAATTGCCCAGAGACAGTAGAAATAAATCCACTAACCACGATAAAATTTTAAAGCCCGAATGTGTCTACATCTAAGTTATGTATTGACTCTGCACATTCTGACTAGAGCATTATCTTTTCTTCTGTTGAATACATTCCCACCTAAGTATGATAAAGCAGTTAACAGTAACTGTACCCTCTTTCTCTTCTAACTTGGTTTAAGAAGAAATAAAATAGTAAAATATAAGCCATGCTTCCCTCTGACTTCATTATCAGGCTTGGAGGAAATGGACCAATCAACAGCCACCTTGCTTCTACTAGACATGAGCTAGTGGTGTAATCAAATAATCAAATAATCAAAGCTGATTGAAGTGTTGGGCTACGATACTGACCTTTCTTATTCAGATATTTTCAACGTATTTTAACCTAATGACTTTCCCTAGGAGAACAAACCAGTTAGCTCATAACTGACAACCATAACTCAGCCAAGAGGGATCATTCTCATCATACCAAATCACCAGTTATATCCATCCTTAGGAAAAATATGAGATATCTAGAAAATAGCCTACCCCTGAGCAGGGGTGGGAGAATTAGGGAATTAATTATTTTTGCAAATTCTTTCCTTACATTAATTTTATCTTCAACACTAAAAGAATTACTTTTTAAAAACTGCAAAAGTAATATTTAATTCAGTCAAAACATGAAGATAAGACAGGAAAATTTGTAGCAAGCTATTTCTACAACAAATATTAATCTCAATGCCTTCTGCAGTCCACTAGTAAGACTTGAGGTGCATGATAAATGTGTATAAAAATTTTCCCACATATGCCAGGAAGAAATATTTCAATAATAAGTAACAATAAAAATTAAATGGCTAGAAATAAGATTATTTACCTTAAAATAATTGAGCTCTATTGCAAAAGACATAGATAAACCGAAGGAAATACTATGTTCTTCAATAACCAAATACAGACTTTTAGGATTTTATTCATTGCAAGTTAACTTATAAATTTAATTTAATCACAAAGCCTAAATAAAAATTTTAAATACATAGTAGAATTCACCTTTTCCTTCTTTCTTTAATAAATAGCTACTGATGATCAATTATGTAAAAAATTTTGTGCTATATAATAATGATTGAAAGATACAACTTTCCCTTCTAAATTATAAGAGTAAATGTGAACACACACTAACAAAATTTGAAAAGAGTCTAATCCTCAACTCATATTCTTGAAGAAATCACTTCTTTTAATTTCCCTCAAATACACAAATAATATATACCATCCCTGGGGTCTAAAGAAAATTCCAATTCACATATTCTCAACAAGAAAATAATCAGAATGCATAGAAAAGTTTGTCAAATTTTGCCAGAAATATAGAAGAGGAAGAGAATTTAAAACATAATTGTGATTTCTGAAAGTCTCTCACAGAGCTATTAAAAAGCAGGTGTTGGAAGAGGAGACTTAAAATTGAGAATACTCAATTCATGATATAACATTAAGTGGAAAAAAATCAGAATCCTACTTACATTAGATTTTAAGAAGAGAGTAAACCAAACATTAGTAATAAATTATCTGGGTACAGAATTATCAATTTCACTATTTGTATTTTACATATTTTCTATATTTAGCATGTAATGTTTTATAACAAACAAAAAGTAACATTTGCAACATTTGAAAGACAAGAGTTAAAAGTCTATCCATAATAGGACGTGCTAATTTATTAAAAATTGTTTGTATGACAGGGTTCTGAATAGCAAATGTAATCATCTTTAAAACCCGAATTTCAAAATAAAACATTACTAACTGCCTTCAAGAATCCATTAAGCAACAGTCATCTAACAAAATGTTCTAACTCTGTCCAAGTCATCATGAGCTTAATCTTCTTCTTACATGCTTTTAATGTCTAACACATTAGCTTCCACTTGCAGACAAACAACAGGACAAATGCAAACTTGAAGGTCTGTGTCAGAGGACAAGGGGGCTGCCCCACACCCAGGTTTGAGTGCAGGCAGCAGGTGCCTGGGAAGCAATGTGTGCTTGCTGCGCAGAAGTACACAGCTGAGTCTTCAGGCTGGGTGTCTGCGATGTGCAGGGAGAGATGTTTGGCCGTCTTATTCAATAAAACAGTGAGTCTTTGGTCTTCTTTTGTGGCCATGGTTGAACGAATGTCTATAAGGAGCTGGGGACCTTTCCTGAGTTCTTGCTTATACCAAGGGAAGTAATTTGAGGCACTGTCTGAATAACTGCAATTGATAACAGAGCTGCTTCCCTGCTGGACGCTCAGGGTAGAAGGATGTTGCTCCACCTTCTCTCCTTGGCTGAACCCTGTGCTGAAAGAAAAGGTCAGAAAAAGGAGAAGAGATTCCAGGTTATTCTGCTTCAGAATTCTCTTCTTCTACACTAATTGAAGGAAACCTGAGTAAAACCAGTCTTGACTTCTGAAGAATACCCACTAATACACTGTTTCCCATAAACGCTCAACTCACAGTTCAGCTGCAGCCATGAGAATATGATTAAAGCTCCCGTGGCTGTCTTCATGGTTCCTCCCAATTAAGATCACTTTGAGAATTGCAGCCTCCAGCCAGCTCAGCTCCTTCTCTTGTCAGGCGGTCCCTTCTTTCCTCTAGCAGAGTACTTTCCCACATTGTCTACCAGCCAATAAAAAAAAAGACTCTACTTCTGCCATAGCCTAGTCAATCAGATGCACTAAAATGAACCCTCCACGTGTTCTGCATCAGCACAGGTGCACTGCCTTCTTGTGGTCACATCTCTACTGAACTCACTGGGGAAATGTTCCTCTCTTAGCCTATGTCTCTGAGGGACTCAGATGAATCAAGGCAGCGATAGTCAAGCAAATTATATCTTAGATCAGGGATCAAGTGCACAGTAAGAATGTAAAAATTAGATTTATACCTCTGCACACTACTGAGTCACTATTAAGTTCAAAAGAGGTAGACCCTGTTGCTGTTTTATTGGTGATGGGCCTGGTTTACATGTTTTAAAATCAGGAAGGAATCAGGGCACCTGGGTGGTTCAGTTGGTTAAGTGTCTGACTCTTGATTTCGGCTCAGGTCATGATCTCCATATTGTGAGATTGAGCCCCAAGTCCAGCTCTGCATTGGGCGTGGAGCCTGCTGAAGATTCTGTCTCTCCCTCTCTGTCTGTCCCTCCTCTTCCCTGCTTGTGCTCTCCTGTGTTAACAAATAAATAAATATTATGAAGGAATAATGATTCACTCTCCTAAACAAAGAAAATGGAAAACCTTCCCTTTCTGCCAAATCTACCATCCTTATTTGTCTGTTATGGAGAAAAACTCTAAAAGGGACATGGAAGCCAAAGATTAGATATTTTCAATGCCTCTGATCTCAGACTCTGTGCCTCTAAGCTGGTCTCACCTGTGATCTTGCAATTTCCACAGAATTGACAGCACCAACAGTCAAAATGTGGATTCTTCCCTCAGTTAAGATGACAGTCATAAAAATCTCAATGATAAAGGAGCGGCGGGGGGGGGGGAGTTCCATGAGTTATGAAACAGTTTGACCCATAGACTTGATTGATTTGTGATGAGAAATCTGGCATGCTATTCTTATTGCTACATGGATTATATACTAGAAAGCACTGGGGGAAGGAGTAGAAAATCTCAGAATACATCGGGCTTCAGGTTCAAAAAATGTAGCCATATATAAATTTATTCTACAGATGCTTTTATTTTCTGGTGTCAAAAGGAATGCCAGGTCCTAAATGCAGTAACTGACTCAAATTCTTAGTGGAATTTCCTCAAAAGTGTAAAGCAACTTTCTGAGCATAGAGCTACCTTGGCCATTGTTGGTTCACATTCCATACTCTGTCATTTTTCTCCCAAACTCCACTACCATGTCCTTTCCCCAAGACACTGATAAAGTTCCTCAGTCCTGTAGATTTCCAGAATTATCCCTTTCTGCCAAAAACCCTTTCTCAACTACTTTAGTAACTGGATATTTTCCAATTACATCTGTAAGGGAAAAAATCTAGGAAAACCTAAATATTGCCAATCAAGACTACCTTACCTCCCTAAGTGGAAGTCTTTTTCCTATGATTTATACTCACTGGTCCTCTGGAGTTGTGCATATTAAATACAATCCTCATCCACATTTTACACCATTGAAAATTTAGGGACAACTATGAGAAGAATCAAAATCAACATATAAATTTGTCTGTGAATATATGATGTGTTTTTACATATGTAAAATTTCTCCATTCTAAGAATCTTCCTCTAGAGGCGGAGCAAGATGGCGGAGGAGTAGGAGACCTAAATTTCGTCTGGGCTCAGGAATTCAGCTGAATAGGGATCAAACCATTCTGAACACCTACAAATTCAACAGGAGATCGAAGAAAAGAATAGCAGCAACTCTCTGAACAGAAAAGCGACCACTTTCTGGAAGGTAGGATGTGCGGAGAAGTGAATCTGAGGCAATATTCGGGAGGATAGACGGCGGGGGAGGGGACCTCCATCAGCCGCTACTGGCAGGTGATAGAGCCGCGGAGCACAAAATCGGAACTTCTAGAAGTCGTCTCCGCTGAGGGACGTCGCTCCAGTGGCTAAGCGGGGGTGGAACCCTCTCTGGGACAATGTGGTCCCAGGACCCTCGGGGTCACAGAAAGACCGGGGGTGCCTGAGTGCGGCAGAGCTCCCAGGTATCGGAGCGGGGAAGCCGGCTGCAGAGACGGAGCCGAGGCGTGGGCTCTCAGCTCGGGGTTGCCATAAACTGTGATTGGTGACACAGTCGGGCCACTGCTCCTCCAGCAGGGACCCAACAAGCGGCAGATCCAGGGAAACTCCCCTTCCTCCCCCGGGAGGAGCGGCGTGGGAGCGCACCACAGGGATCTGCTGGGTTTGGATACCACACCGAGTCGGGTGCCAGAGATAGAAACGCTCGGTCACAGGCGGCGTGAGCACGGAGTGCGGCTGGAGACCAGGGAGATAGGAGTGATTGACTGCTTTTCTCTGGGGGCTCACTGAGGAGTGGGGCCCCAAGTTCTCAGCTCCTCCAGGACAGAGATTGGGAGGCTGCCATTTTCACTCTCGACCTCCAAAGCTGTACCAAGAGCTTGCAGGGAACAAAAGCTCCCGAGAGCAAACCCGAGCAGATTACTCAGCCCAGACCGGCAAGGGCGGGGCAATTCCGCCTCAGGCAAAGACATTTGGGAACCACGGCAACAGGCCCCTCCCCCGATCAGCAAGAACAGCCAGCCAAGACCAAATTTACCGTTCAATGAGAACGGCAGAACTCCAGCACTAGGGGAATACTGCACATAGAATTCATGGCTTTTTTCCCATGATGCTTTAGTCTTTCAAAGTTAATTTTTTTAATTTTCTTCTTTTTCTATTTTTTTTTAATTTTTCTTTTTCCCTTTTTCAACCAACATCTTGTCAATCCCTTTTTTAAAAAATCTTTTTTACTGCTCACTCGCCTCCAATGGCCTGCCTCACGGTCCGCACGCTCTGCCGCTGCCCCACAGAAATGCTTCGATTACCCTCAGTCCTTCGCCAAATTAGGCCAGTGTCCAGAGCACTGGTTCCTCATCTCACTCAGGCCTATGCCAAAGATGTAAAATTTGGTGCGGATGCCTGAGCCTTAATGCTTCAAGGTGTAGACCTTTTAGCCGATGCTGTAACCATTACTATGGGGCCAAAGGGAAGAACAGTGATTTTTGAACAGAGTTGGGGAAGTCCCAAAGTAACAAAAGATGGTGTGACCGTAGCAAAGTCAATTGACTTAAAAGATAAATATAAAAATATTGGCGCTAAACTTGTTCAAGATGTCGCCAATAACACAAATGAAGTGGCTGTGGATGGCACCACGACTGCTATTGTCTTGGCACGCTCTATTGCCAAGGAGGGCTTCGAGAAGATTAGCAAAGGTGCTAATCCTGTGGAAATCAGAAGAGGTGTGATCTTAACTGTTGATGCTGTAATTGCTGAACTTAAGAAGCAGTCTAAACCCGTGACAACCCCTGAAGAAATTGCTCAGGTTGCTACGATTTCTGCAAATGGAGACAAAGATATTGGCAAAATCATTTCCGATGCAATGAAAAAGGTTGGAAGAAAGGGTGTCATCACAGTAAAGGATGGAAAAACACTAAATGATGAATTAGAAATTATTGAAGGCATGAAGTTTGATCGAGGTTATATTTCTCCATATTTTATTAATACATCAAAAGGTGAGAAATGTGAATTCCAAGATGCCTATGTTCTATTGAGTGAAAAGAAAATTTCTAGTGTCCAGTCCATTGTACCCGCTCTTGAAAATGCCAATGCTCACGGTAAGCCCTTGGTCATAATTGCTGAAGATGTTGATGGAGAAGCTCTGAGTACACTCGTTTTGAATAGGCTAAAAGTTGGTCTTCAGGTTGTGGCAGTCAAAGCTCCAGGTTTTGGTGACAATAGAAAGAACCAGCTTAAAGACATGGCTATTGCTACTGGTGGTGCAGTGTTTGGGGAAGAAGGATTGACTCTAAATCTTGAAGATATTCAGCCTCACGACTTAGGAAAAGTTGGAGAGGTCATTGTGACCAAAGATGATGCCATGCTCTTAAAAGGAAAAGGTGACAAGGCTCAAATTGAAAAACGTATTCAAAAAATCATTGAGCAGTTAGATATCACAACTAGTGAATAAGAAAAGGAAAAGCTGAATGAACATCTGGCAAAACTCTCAGATGGAGTAGCTGTGTTGAAGGTTGGTGGGACAACTGATGTTGAAGTGAATGAAAAGAAAGACCGAGTTACAGATGCATTCAATGCTATGCGTGCCGCTGTTGAAGAAGGCATTGTTCTGGGAGGGGACTGTGCCCTGCTCTGCTGCATTCCAGCCCTGGACTCAATAACTCCAGCTAATGAAGAGCAAAAAATTGGTATAGAAATTATTAAGAGAGCACTCAAAATTCCTGCAATGACTATTGCTAAGAATGCAGGTGTTGAAGGATCACTGATAGTTGAGAAAATTATGCAGAGTTCCTCAGAAGTTGGTTATGACGCTATGCTGGGAGATTTTGTGAATATGGTGGAAAAAGGAATCATTAATCCAACTAAGATTGTAAGAACTGCTTTATTGGATGCTGCTGGAGTGGCCTTTCTGTTAACTACCGCAGAAGTTGTAGTCACTGAAATTCCTAAAGAAGAGAAGGACCCAGCAATGGGTGGAATGGGTGGTATGGGAGGTGACATGGGAGGCGGCATGTTCTGATTCCTAGAATAGTGCTTTACCATTATTAATGAACTGTGAGAGGAGGCTCAAGGCTCTGCTCCTCAACCATAACTTCAGAGAAGTCAGTTGAAGGAAATGACTGAAGAAAAGGCTGGCTGATGTTTAAGAAAATACTATAAGAAAAAACTATAACCATCAGTTACTGGTTTCAGTTGACAACATATAATGGGTTACTGCTGTCATTGTCCATGCCTACAGATAATTTATTTTGTATTTTTGAATAAAAAGACATTTGTACATTCCCAATAACTGAGTGCAAGAGCCATGTACCAATGTACTGTTTTCAACTTAAATCACTGAGGCATTTTTACTACTATTCTGTTAAAGTCAGGATTTTAGTGTTTGCCATCACCAGATGGAAAGTTAAGCAGCCTTTCTGTGGAGAGTAAGAATAATTGTGTACAAAGTAGAGAAATATCCAATTATGCGACAACCTTTGTGTAGTAAAAATTTCTTTAAGTTAAAAAAAAACTTTTTTACTTTTCTTTTT